AAAGTTTGATGCAAAAACGCATGATCGCACCGGCTCGCCTGGTGCGTTCCAGCCTGGGTTTTTTCATGCATTAATTTTCAGGTCCACTTCCATACTCTGTGCGTAGAGCTCCAGTGATGGCTACACTTAATAAGAACTCCGGCGTTCGCCAAGTGTAGGCGATGTGCTGCTAATCATGGAGTTCAGCACCACACTTCCAATCCAATTGTAAAAATACCACTCCAAGCAGAGTGTGAAAGGTTTGGGTGATATGGAAACGCTTCACCTCAGTACCCTCTTGATCGATGTACGAATTGGAATGGTAAAAAGTGCTATGTTTGTTGAGCCTACGTACGCTTCATCAACAATTTCCACCCAATTCCGATCAATCCTTATCTAAAAGAGCTCCTTTTACAGCATTCTTCCCTATGTTACCGGATGTTCTTTCATAAATGACGAATAAGCGTTGGCGGATCCACGGGGAGATGGGGAGGAGGGCCCCCCAGCTGCACTGGCAGGAGTTGCTTTACTGCTGAAAACTTTCTCCGATATCCGCTGTCGCCCCCGCCACCCCCGGGAGCCCCACTTTCATTTCCCTCTCTCCCCCTCCCCCCTTCCCTCTCTTTCCCCTAGTCGTCACTGCAGTTTAGGCCCGACCGACGAGGGTCCTCCCCCCTCCCTCCCAGAAATCCACCCTGGATACTCCTGTGCGAATGAGAGACAGGGAAGTACCGAACGAACCGAACAGAGAGAGCTTTCCAAAGCTTGTTCCTTTCGGATATGACAAATTTGATGTTAGGACACCCATTACCGGCATCCTTCCATTTGGAAAATTGTCTGATGGCGCGAATTACAAGTGCTCGAATGTTTATAGACGATACAAACAGATTCATTTAGAATTATTTACATATATTCCCGTATCTGATCGTTCCATTATTCAACGATCACTTCCATTCTTCGCGCTACCACTGCGCAGAGAGTGGTACAGTAGTAGTTTTCACTCGCTCTTCTCCAGATTCTCTTGCAAACCGTTTGTGCCTTCGTTAAAAATTGCAGCTTGAGAAACTTTCTTTCTTCTTTCAACTCCCCTTCCCTCCCCGCCACGTCTAATACCCCCGCAGAGAACAGTATTTTTTTTTTT